AGGAGAATTTCTAATTGCCTGAGTTATCTGTTTGAGAACAGCATGAGACCAAATAGAACACTGATAAAACGTTTCTCTCCTTCTACGCTGCTCTTTTCCCAGTTTGAACAGATGTCACAAGTGGTACAATTGCAAGTGGTAGTACTTCTGAACTGCACTGAACAGACATTAAGGCCATGGAGTAGCTAACTAAATAGACATATGGAAAAATACATGTTAGGATCAGTGGTCACTATTGGCATTGTACCAGATCAATAGTGTGTTCTGCTGTGGTAATTTCCACTTTCACTTGTCAGTTCCTTCTCTCTGCTTTTACTCTCCTCTTTCTCTTTTTTATATCTTCTTTTCAGGAGTCCCAACCTTTCTGCACATACAGAAGAGAGAATTTCCTGCTGTAATCTTGGTCAATGCCACTTTGTCTTTGCTGGTGCAGGAAAGACTTTCTGCAGAAACACAACTGGAACATTACAGAGGGACTGTTCTTCCCTGTCACACAGCACCATCTCAGGTTTAAAAGCATGAGCCTTGGATCCCTCTGTCCCTCTCTTATGAAGTCCAGCCAGGCTCACTCTGGTACAGCTCCAGTGTCTCCTGCAAGAAGTCAAGCCTTCATGGGTAGTCTTGCTGGGCATCTTTATTACTTCATGACTTAAGGAGCCTTTCCATTTCAAGCATTCACCCTTCCAGGCTGCACAAATCCAATGTGCCAAACTTCAGAAGGCCTGTTTTCCCAAAGGCTTGCTATTGCTGCATCTCTAGCAGTTACTGATAAAACAGACAGTATATGATTAACTTGCCAATATTAATGTTTGTGTGGTGCTTTAACCCCATGCCAAGGCCTCCCTTTCTCATACTTCTCCAAGCAACATCATAAATTATTTTGACTACTCACACTGCCTATCCTTTACTCAAAAGGAAAGATAAAACAAGTAAGGTAGGCTTTTTTCTTTTAGCTTTCCCATCTTTGTAATACTGCTTCGGTGTCTGACTGACACTTTCAAGAAGAAGCTAGAAATTTAGGTGCCATTCAGTCTTACTTATTTTAGTACAGGTCCATTCATCAGGGACAGAATCACTGTTATGAGGCTGCAGCTGGCATCCAATAGAATTGAATACAAGCAGTGGCATCACCCTTACAGTATCAGGGTTATGCTTGCATCTGGTCGAGGGAGGTTATGTTCTGTAAATATTATGGCTTCACAGCTGTTGCTGTTGTCAGGAGAGCTAATAAAACTGGCTAGAAGCCAGAGCACAGCTCCTCAAGCTACTGTCTGCTAGACCCTTCTCATCTCATATCTTCATCTCTTTTCTTGAACCTGCCTGGGCATAGTGGAACTAGAATAACTGTACCAATAATGAAAAGAGAAAGGAAAACACTTTATGTGGATTCCTTCATCTTCCTCAGGTCCAGCACTAGATGATTATGATAGGTGTATCTCTTGCTTTTCTGGACCACAGCTGACTTGCACCAGATGATGACGAGGAATAAAACTAAAATGATAGCAGTTCCTTTCTGTTAAAAGCATGTGAAAAGCTTTAAAAAGACACTTCCTATTTCTGACCCACTCTTGAAAAGAAGTATTTCCTAACAATCAGCAAAACAGACAGGTCACTGGTGGAAATGTACCCCATTTGCTTGCTTACCAGTCCTGACATCAGAGGTGATATCACACATGCAATCCATTGTCTCCAACGCAAGTTTTTTCTTCCACTGTGTTTTCTAGGTCTATTTCTGCACTTCTGAGGTGCTGTACACAGCTGGGTTTGAGAGGGCCTTATTCCATAGTTATCACTAGGTGTTGGTCTTTGTGCTCCTTCCCACCCTGCTGTGGTCAGGGCTACTCAGGCTTTAGCTGTGCTTACAGTGAAGCGAGTGCTTTTCCTGCCCTTCCAGACTTTTACTATTGAGCAGGAAGACATTGCTGCTGCAAGGGCTATGCTTTCATGGCCTTGGCACTGCCTGTCCTCACAGTTACACTCTCCCTTCAGATAAGAAGAATTTTTTAACTATTTTATTCCCGTTGCTGTTTCATATCTAGAATGGCACGTTTCGTGTCACAGTGACAAAACAAACTGGATGTAGGCAGCTACAAAGCAAAACTTTGTCATCATTTCATCATCATGTTCAAAGTGCTGTAAAAGGAGAGGGAAAAAAACCTTTCTCTGGTTTATTTCCATGAAAACCTTGTCTCTTTATGCTTACTTATCTTTACTGGGATCCTTATCAGCTTAGGCATCTTCACCTACTTCTTCCTTCCAGAGACAAAAGGGAACTTGGTTATGGAAACAACTGAAGAATTCGGTGCTTTACAATTTAGGAAAAGACCTCATTCCTGTACAGGAAATACTTCTCTTGCAGAACATATCACCTACACTAGATTACACTAGATACAAAAGAAGAGTTGCCAGCAGATTGAGGAAGGTGATTCTGCCCCTCTGCTCTGCTCTGGTGAGACCTCACCTGGAGCACTGTGTCCAGCTTTGGAGTCTCCAACACAAAAAGGACATTGAAGTACTGGAGCTGGTCTAGAGGAGGCCACAAAGATGATCAAAGGGCTGGAGCACCTCTCCTATGAAGACAGGCTGAGAGAGTTGGGGTTGTTCAGCCTGGAGAAGAGAAGTTTCTGGAGTGACTTTTTAGTGACCTTTCAGTACCTGAAAGGTGTCTGTAAAAAATCTGAGGAAGAGCTGTTCACTAAGGCATGTACCAACAAGATGAGGGGTAATGGTTTTAAACTGGAAAAGGGTAGATTTAGGTTGGATATTAGGAAAAAGTTCTTCAATATGAGGGTGGTAGATCAGTGGCACAGGTTGCCCAGAGAGGTGGTGCAGGCCCCATCCCTGGAGATATTCAAGGTCAGCCTTGATGGGGCTCTGAGCAACCTGATCTGGTAACATTGTCCCTGCTCACTGCAGGGGTTGGACTGGAGGAGCTTTAAAGGTCCCTTCCAGCCCAATACATTCTATGATTCTATGATTCTATGATTTCAGCTGGTCAGCAGAAAGACCATATATTAAGTAAGGTCATAAAGGAGACTACAAAACAAATCAAGGGCAAATTATTTGTTTTCCATTATTGGAAAAGGCATGAACCAAGCCCAGCTTTGAGCTCTTTAGACAAATTTATGACATACATCATGAAAGTGAGATTCATGCATTTGTCCATTTCACAGCAAGCATTTCTTACAGCTCTGTATAGAACAAATTAAAGATCTCCTTAACTCTGTAATAATTCCTTAAATATGAAACCATGTACAAGTCTCATAGTGTAGCAGAGCTTTCTCTAGAATACAGGTGAAATTTTTAACACAAAGGGTCAATTCCATTCACTTGACAAAAAACAAGTAGGAAACTCGTAGGATAAAATTCTCCTAAAAGTGCTGATAAAGTGAAACATTACCATGCTATATAGACATGTGTGGCACAGAATCACCAGAAATCCCCCAAAATATAAGAGATATTTTACTGTGTTCTGATGGAATTTACTGCTTTTTGAGATCTTCAGTAATTATTTTTAAGGAGTGTAGAAATCCTTATGACATAACCCCTCTTACACTTCAATAAAATTCGAGAAAGATTCTGTAATTAAAATGAAACATTGAAATTTTAAAATAATAAAGAGTCAATAGCTATGCAACTTGCACTTTTGTACAGTCAAAACATTACAACTGTTGGTGTTCAAAAGAAATTACTAACAAAAATGCCAAATCGTGCTAAATGGTATTGCAAGCCAGAATAATAATCATTTGCTATGTAGTTATATAGGCAATAATTGGAATTACACAAATAAACAAGGTTTTATTATTAATATGCATTTTTGCTCTTTTCTTTAGACACATAGTATTTGCAGTAAACCCCTGTGTAAATGATTGCATTCTCTGTTTCATGAATTAAAAGTGCAAGTCCTGAGGGTGAGCTTGGGCATTTCCTGAGGTCTTCAGTACAACCCCATTGTTCCATCTTCCCCCCCCAAGCCTTGGGGTTGGGGAAAAGTCCCCTGGCATGAATAAGAGACATGAGAGCCCCACACAAACCTCTTTCTTCCAAGTGTTGTCTCTAGCAGAAGCCACATAGAGGTACAGTTTGGGCTCCATCTCACAAGATAGGAGCTTCTGGAAACCAAAGGTGATCTTTCAATGGCTGCAACACTGATTCTGGACTTGTTCTGTGTCTGTCAGGCTCAAAGCTGAAACCTGGGAGATTAAGATCCCAGTTGTCCCATCCTAACTCGTTAGGGAATATTTACCTACTTTGATTACTCTCATGAGTAAGTGGGTCTTACAGTTACTGGCTGTTTCAAGCGGAGCCTTCAGGATGAGATGCTCTATTCCAAAAGCCTCTGCCATGGCATATCTCTTACTGCCTTTTCACCACTCCTGACCAACAGACATTCCCATAAAGACCAGACAAGAAATACCCTTCCTCAGTACAGTCTAACTGATTCATAAAGCCAGAGCAGCAGAACAAGGCTTTGTAATGTGCTGCTTCTACTTCAAGCCCAATGGTTATGTGCTTCAGAATTTGCCTATACTAACGAATCTGAAACAGAACACCACATACTTTACTTATTAATAAATAACAGTAGCTAAACATCATAACAGCTGCTTTTTGCTTTGTGCAGGTTACAGCAGAGATACTCCTCAGTCTGTATCATAGACAAAGTATTTTACTGTTCTTGGAAAACTGTTTAGATTTTTTTGCCTGAACTTTTCCTTTCCCTTTCCAAAGCCCTTGCTACCCCCTAGGTGCAAACTTCCTCTGCTTTGAAACATTCCCCCTGTGAACTGGACTAGATGCAACTATTTCCTGAAATATTTAATCCAGCAGTGTTAACTTTGGCCAGTTGAGGTAAATATAAGTGAGTGAAGATGAAGTAGTAAAAATTTACCTCTGGTCCTGAAGCTAAATCCCTGCTGCCATACCAGCAGACAGGAGACAGACACAGAAGCCTGTGATGACTAAGACACATCACACACTGGACAGCCAGTCCCCAGCCAGAGATGACAGGCTTCCTATCAGACCTGGTAAGTACCTGGTGGGGTATTTACATCTGTGATATTTTTGTATGCTATTAGTGTTTCAAAGAAAACAAAATCAGTATTTCAGTAAAAACAACAAGGCTCCTATTCACTAAAAGCATCTCAGAAGAGGTTCTGCTCACCATTTTTAGATATTACAGATTTTGCACTTCATATACTCTGACATCCATCTTTGTCATATTTTTATCAATGCATTAACATTTCTTAAATGTTTTCATTTACTGGAAAATATTTGCTTACCCTCAAACATTATTCGCTCTGCTTACTTGCTGAAAAAAGAGTTTTGTTAAAAATATCACTAATTACTTAGTGCAAAGGATGGCAGACTGAGGTTTCGAAAGGCAGAGAATAGGACTGGATATTGGCAGCTGTGGTATCTTGACAGGGATGTTTGTGGAAGGCTTCAGCATTTCTATCCTGGCTATGGCTGAGTCTTGAACCATCACGCATCAGTGGGTGACCTCCAATTAGGACAATGTCTCTCTGAGAAAGAGCCCCCAGCTCCTGCTGGGCACACTTGACATCTCACCCAGAAAAGAGGAATATGGCAGGCTGGAAATTTTTCATTCATTCACACCGTATTCACTACATCCTGCTGCAAAGGCTGCTGCAGTGTAAACCTACAGGTGGTGCTGGTTGTGTATTTTTGAATCTGTAACTGACTAGGAAAAAATTCAAGTGGAATGGATGACTGTTCTCAAAGCTCCCAAGAGATTAAGATGACCATGCTGCTTGAGACAGGCAGAGGTAAGAGGTAAGAGTTCAGAACTGATGATGGTAGTAAGAGCTAGAAAAGACACTTTTCTTCTATAGCGCAGCTTGAGCAGAACCAGTGCAGAAGGGAAATTCTGTCTCAAGACTTTTCCTTGCTGTTCCTTCCTCTTCAGCTAGGTAAAAACCATGGATTTCCAAGGGCTACCACACCGACAGAAACTTGAGTGGGAAAACGTGGTACAAACAACATCAGTCTCTTGGTTTTGCCCATTTCAGACTTTTTAATTTTTATCTGCTGTGGGCAATTTCGGGAGGCTTTGCCACAGAACTGAAGGGATCACTGCTCGCTGTTCAAGGGCCTGGAAAGGTAGCTAGCACAGCAGCTGCTCCCTCAGATAAGATAGGAAAGGCCTGGGTACAGAGGGCCTGGTCACTACTGTGGGCACAGGTCTGAGCTGCATGTAGCCTGGCTGCTGTCCTGATAGTGGAGAGGAAAGTAAGACCTTACTCCTCAAAATCACTCTCATGTGTTAGCCCTGGAGTGTGAAATGGCCTTCAGCTTGCAGCTCTATTGAGGGAAATGTAGTGGTTTCCATAGATATAATCTGCAAATCCTTCAAACAAATGAGACATTTCTGGAGAATGAAAGACACATTCCAAGAACAGCTTGATGTGGCTACATGCTTAAGAAGATTTTGTTCTACCTCTGCAGGTACAGTACCGTGGGCTCTTTCAAATGATCCCTGTCCTAGGGATCAGTGGAACATTCCAAATTGGCTTTCAGATTTCATCCATGACCTACATGTCTCAGGTAGGCAAAGATGTACATGGCACACTGGCTAATGGTGGCACTGGTGGCCCTGAGTCTATAATTCTGCTTGAGGATGCTCCTTGCTGGCAGTCAACAAGGGTTTAGTCACAATATTCTCCTCTCACAATTCTTTCCCGTTACTATAGTATCATTTGAAGCAGAATGTGTCAAAGAGTTGAAAATAGAAGAAAAGAGCAAGTTGTTTATAGAACTGTTCCTCAGAAGATGCACACTGGCTGGGGTAGCATCTGTCTGCCTTAAAAACCTACGGTACATGTGCCTACTGTGGTGGTCTCATTTGACACTATTCTTCACTACAAGACTGTGTCTCAGCTCCTCAGATTTCAAGGACAAAAAAAAAGAATTAACTCCTTTTAACAGCAAAATGCGAAATGAACACTCCATATTCTATCACACAATGCGTATTAGCTAACGCACTTTTAGAGTCCATACGAAACAGTGACTTTAGCTGAAGCAAGAAAATTATGTTCTAAATATAACAAAATACATGCACTGGAGTCACAGCTATTGTTAATGACAATTCTTTTTTTTTTTTGTCTCAGCATGTTAAGGCTTTCATTAATGAAACTTGGCTGGAGCGATACGGCTACCCCATCCACCAGGATAACCTCTTGTTCCTATGGTCTATCACTGTTTCCATCTTTGGTATAGGAGGTCTCTTGGGTTCTTCAGGAAGTAGATACCTGACTGTCAAGTATGGCAAGTACGTATGTTCAAAGACAATTTGCCAATTGAATTTGAGTTTAAGGAAATGACACTTCAGGATTTAAATGTGAGACAGACTTTTAGGCTTAGTCATGGCTGTAAAGCAGGGGTTTCTTGGAGGGCTACTCAAAATACAGCAGCATTGAGACGGTCCTAAGTGCTACATCAATGTGTTTCATTATTGTTTTTGAAGTGTAGAAAAGCTTTAAGACTTTTCTCCATTAAAAAACCCAGAAGTGCTTCCAAACTGTCAGGTCTAGCCATGTGCCAAGGCCCATTGTGAGTCCAGAGTATCCTGTGCCCACAGTGTGAAAGGGCTTATTTTTTCCTGGACCACACATGTATGATTTCACAAAACTAGAAAGAGAATTTCACCCAAGATACTCTACATTCCAGGACCTTAAGTGCCATTTCCCTTCTGATTTACCAAAATTCTTTTTACTTTCTTGCACTTACAGAAAGAGATGTCTCTTGTGCAACAATCTGGTCATGCTAGTGGCAGCATCTATCATGGCCTGCAGTAAAATAGCCCAGTCTTTTGAGATGATTATAATTGGACGCTTCATGTGTGGAATAAGTGCAGGTAAGTGATTTCTCCCACAGGTCAGCAGGGTCTCTCAAAATTTTACATCTTTATTCAAAGTAAATTATAACCCTCCACTACAAAAATAAAATATTAATGTCAGTGACCCCTTGTCAGAAGATCTTCTATAATATAACACCCAGTAATGAAGAGCATAATTACTACTCATTTCACTGATACCAAATGAAATTCAGCTTTCCCAAGTGAATAAATATTCAGAGCTGCCATGAATGTATTGATACAATATGAAACTTTTTTTTTTCTGATGGAAAAATATGTGTAATCTTATCTTAATTTTGGTTAACTGTAAATTATATACTGGAAATTATATGGTATACAGCTTAAAGCTAGTATTCTTATAATGCTTGAGAGAACCAGCCTGTTCAAGGCCATGGCCATTTAATTTTGACTCCAAACATATTTCAGGTATGTCCTACAAGGGAATCTGACCTCTTTCAAAGCAGTAAGTCCTTGAGGTTAATACAAAGAGCTGGGCATAATCAAGCAAAATCACTCCTGCCAAGTAAACCCCATGCAGTAAAAACTTCCTGTGCTAGTATCAGCATGCCTTGTATTTGTCTCCTACGCAAAAGGTTGCTTTTCCATTCAGTTTGGATATTCACAGGAATGCCTGTTTTAACTTCATTAGAAATTATGTCAATTTTCCAAATAACCAGATTTTGTACATTGCTTCTCTGACATACATTTGTATTGAAGAACAACAGTTATATTTTGAGAGCTACCCAAGCACTCACCCTGCTGTGATCTAGAACCTGTATCATGCCTCATGCAAAGACCTAATTTTTGTTAAAGACATTGCAAATCTCCACTGCTTTGCCACCACATAAAGCCAGGAAAAGAAGATGTTGTCTTCAAAACATCAGGAAAAGGCTCTTGTTCCCAGACTAGTTTTCAGAATATCTGAGTTATTAAGTACTTCACTAATAGCTGGAAACATCAACTCTGCCTTAAATAATCAAAATTATTGCTGGACAGTGGAAAATACGTACTTGTGGCTCCCTCAGATCATGTACAAATCAACAGTGAATATAGCACTGTCTATTTTAAGCTGCTATGGATCTACCATAAAGCTCTTCTATAGCATCGTGTCAGAAAAGGTTGAGATTATGTGGGTTAACTACAAGCAAATTAAGTATTACTACAGGGTGTTTAGTTATTCAGCACTTGCATACTCCATGTCTTTTAAAATATGCTAAGGTTCACAAGAGATATTACAATAAGGCAACACCTACACCCCAAAGGGAAAACTATATTTCTTAAGATCAAGAAACTGCACTGTGCAAAAAGGACAGGAACCGCATACTTTTGTAGAAACGGTTAGAAAATCTACTACTGAAAAATCTCATATGTGGGTTGAGGTATGAAAAACAATTTCATGCATGAGGCAGCTATATTCTGTAATGCTTTGTTATTTACAGGCAGTTTTCTTTCCAATGGTTATGAATGTCTTCTTTCTTCTCTCCCATAATTCTCTCCTCACCTCAAGGTCTTTGTATTCCTCTACAATATCAATACATTGGGGAAATTTCCCCTAAGAAGCTACGTGGATTTACATACTCTACTTCCTCCTTCTTTTGGTCACTGGGAAAAGCCATAGGACAAGTTTCAGGACAAAGGTATAATACAATTGATTTCTGGATCCCCTCTACCTTTTTCTTCTTCCTCTGCTTTTCCATCCATTCCTTTCTCTCCTTGAAACCAACACAATGAACTTTTGCTTTACACATATATTTTATCCTCACCAGGGAGCTGCTGGGAAGCCAGTCCAGGTGGCCCATGCTGATGGCCTCCTATGGACTTCCAGCACTGATCCAGCTGGTCACTCTGCCCTTCTTCCCTGAGTCCCCACCATACCTACTCATGCATAAAGGAGACCAGGAAGGCTGCAAAAAAGGTAACAAGGGCTCCAGGTTCCTGTTCCTCACTTGGCTTTCAATTGTTTTGTGATGTTTGCTCTCCCCATATGGAAAAAAACAAAGAGGACGGAGTTTCTCCTTGCTCATTTCTAAGATGACTCTGTGAATACCTACTAAGGATATTTTTGTTGTAGTCCCCACATAGAACATGAAACTACTCTCTACAGTTCTGTATTACAAAACCTTTCACATTCAGCTGACGTCACCTGAGTGGTCAGTCAGGTAATAAATGATAAATGATAAATGATAAATGATAAATGATAAATGGTGAATGGTGAATGATAAATGGATGTTTGCAGGGTTCCACAGGGCACCGCTCAGCTCTGGTTTTTGGCTGCGTACCCTGTTCATACCCTGGAAGAAGGGGAGAGGAAAGTGGACCCATGGGCAGGGAGGGAGTCATTGCACACCTCACCAGGCCCCTCTGTCAGAACAGCTCCCTCTGTGCAGGAAGGGACCAGGGCTCCGGGACACACTATAGGACATCTCTGCCTCACACTGTAGCCACAGCCCATGCATGCTGTGCTGCCAGACCCTTGCATCATCTATTCAACAGACTCCTTAGGCAATGAACAACAGAGACATATTAACATGGCAGGTCTCGCTCTCCTTCTTCTCCACAGCCATAAGGCAGCTTTGGGGTGAAGGCCAGCACCAAGCAGACATTGAGGACATCATGAAAGAGAAGGCAACAATGAAAAACACCAAGATCTTGAGTGTCCTGGATCTAATGAAGGATCCAGCTTTCCGTTGGCAGCTGTACACGATGGTTATTCTGACCGCCACAGTTCAGCTATGTGGCATCAATGCAGTTGAGTGTATTTCCCCCTTAAAGTCTCAAAACACTTACTGACAAGCTTAAAAGAGACATCATAGCTCCCAGGAGCTCTCTCCATTTTTCCCAAGCTTCTCAGGCCACAACTTGCTGTCTGCCAGCTCTCCTACAGGAGCAGCAGCAGCAGTCTGCAACACTTGAGCAGCCTCTTCATATGACATCCCTTTGCCCAGTTCTCTTAACTGTTTCATGGGGTTTTTTTCCAGATTTATTTTTATACTTTTGAAGTCCTCCAGGCAGCTGGCTTTGATGAAAGAATGATCTCCTATCTGACCCTTGCTGTTGGACTCTCTGAACTTGTAGCTGCTGTAGTCTGTGTAAGTTACATTACTACAGGAATGGGTCACAATTTACTCTTCTGGCACTGATACCAGTGTGATTTCTGTCCTTCAGAGCTCCATCATTGAGCGACTGGGCAGGAAACTGCTCCTAAGAGAAGGCTATTGTATGATGGGTTCAATGCTAGCTGCTATCACTGTGACTCTCTCCCTACAGGTAAGGAAAATCCCCACATGGCAGGTTTCTCTATCTGTTCCATTGATAACTTTTGCTCACAGGCAGGACGATACTGTTGAGAAAGGAAAGAGAAGCTTAGAAGTGCTGAAATAACTCTTCTGTACACAGATTACCCTCTAGGAGTGGAATATCCTAAAGATCAAGCTTGCCTATACATAGCATTAAACTCCCTCCCAGCAAGTATTCTCTTGTATTCCTACCTTCCTTTCAGCATGATCCCATGAGCTCAGCAAGGAGCACATAAAACACTGGGAGTCTAGCATTGATTCCTGATTTCTTCAGACAGTGTAGATCAAAAAGACACTTCTAGGAAAATGGTCCTTTCTATTCATGTAGTTTTTAACAAGTAACAAAAAAACCCCAGACTCTGCATCAGTTAATTTGAAATTTAACTTTGCTGCAGAAGACACTGGAAATACATGTATTTGTTTACACACTGAAGACCAGTTCACCTCTATAACACTGTGCCATTGCTGTAGCTTCTTCAGAGGCAAGTCTCCTGCTTTACCAGTATTCATCCAAGAACTACTCTATAGACACTATTGTAAAATTAGCCTTGAAGCAAGGTGGCAGCAAACTTCCATTTTCGTTTCATTCGTGAAAAATGTCAAACGTAGGAGGGAGAAATCTTTTTTCCTAAAGCATTCAGTCTTGTATTTTCTTCACTAAGATCTAGGAAAGTTCCTTTTTAGTACCAGTTACTGAACCTATCACTTAACAAAATTGAAGAAAGATATTATTTGGCCTTCCCATATCTGTAAGGATTGGGGGGAGCACCATAGAGTCAAGAAGACGATAAGGTGGAAAAATTGTACTATTCAGACTTCCTTTAACTGAAAGCTTCCAAGCTTAACAGCTGCTCTGCACTAGAAAACCTGCTTCTCTGCTCACCTAACAAAAACCTCACTGCTCTATCCACAGGAAAAAGCACTCACATTTCTTTGCCAGTTTTTCCACACTGTTTATTTTTTCTTGAGGTGACAGTGTTGGAAAACAAGCAGCATTTCTTATCTATGGTTATCAACAGATTTCACCCAGAAGTTTGTTATGGTTTTTGTTGTTTGGTTTATTTTCCCCCAGGACTGGTATTTCTGGATGCCATATTGTAGCCTTTGTCTGATCATCTTGTTTGCAGTTGTCTTTGGAGTTGGGCCAGGTGAGAACTTCATTCAAAAGAAATAAAGGAATCAAGTCATGTGAGTTTATTAATATGGTTAAGGAAATGCCACATAATAATGCATAACATTTAGCATAAGTAAATTCATTTAACCTAATCATTTAGTCATTTAAACATTGTGGGTCCAATCATTGGCCAGAAACTTCAATGCCATCAGGTTTGGATTTTGCAAACAAGAGGAAGGGAAGAAAGCAAAGAGTACACACTGGAAAAATACAGCAAAAATAGAGCAAAAGCAGATGGGTAAAAGATTTTTCTTAAGTAAAAAAAAAAAAAAGAAAAAGAAAAGCAAGAGTTCTTTTCAATTCAGTGTTGTATAACGTTACACTTTAGCCCACACAGACAACACTGCAGAAGATCTACTTTGGAGTACTTATTTTCCTAGCATATACTACCTGCTCCTCTTTAATTGTTTTAAACCTATTAATTTTTAAAATATTTGCCTTCCCATACAGCAGGGCTGAATTATGCTCCTCAATCAAAGCTGTCAAAGTCTTGTGAGTTTTAAATATAACTGAAATGCACAGGAAGTGAATCTAGGAAGATCATTCATTGGTGATCTAGCAGTACTATGCTGGGAATTAATCTTAGCAATAATAATTGTTATTCCATCCTTACACAGCTTCTTTCATGAGATGTCAGACTTTCTCAAGTGTTAACTACTTAATTCTTGAATCTCCTCAGTAAAAATTGAATCATTTACCACTTTAATAAGCAGATGTCTAGCAGTTTATAAGATGCCACAGATATTTTCTTTTCTAAAAAACAGTGACATACTCAAGTCTTTTGAATGCTAGTCCATGATAGTAGCATCTATCTGCTGACTGTGTAAAGGTAACGCTCAACCCAAGTGTTCAAACCAAACACATCAACAAGTAATAAATCTTATTCTTATTTACTTTCAGCTGGTGCAACCATTTCCGTTAGGGCTGAAATTTTCAAGGTCTCATGTAGACCACCTGCCTTTGTGATCAGTGCAGTTATCAACTGGCTGGGTATCTTTGTGATCGGAACAACCTTCCCGTTCATTGTGGTGAGTGACTTTCCCTGGGATGCTCCCCAGGGGTACTAAGCTTGAGTTGGTCACAGGAGCAGGAATCAGAGCAGCAGGAGATGACAATGCCATGTCAGTTTAGAGTGGCCTTGGCGCCTGCTCTCCTCAGTCCACTGCTACTGGAGAGCTCTGATTTGCCAAAGATACTTATTCAGACTGTAACGTTTCCCAAAGGTTAAATGCAAAGAACTCTTTCTCAAATTCAAAGTACTTTAGGACCCAAATACAAAAACTGTGCCAAGAAAATGACAAAAGGAAAGATATGCTCATCTTGCTCTCTTTCTCTCTTTGCTCTTTCCTGCAGGAGAAACTCAAGCACTTCTGCTTCCTCATCTTTATGGGGGTACTTTTCACTTCAGGGATATTTATCCATCTGTTCCTTCCAGAAACAAAAGGGAAATCAATCATGGAAATCACAGAAGAATTTGATAAGCTAAACTTTAAAAATAAGCATATTCAAGCAACTCCAAATCATGTTACAGAGGATTACACCTGCACTAGGCTTTGATCGGCCATTAAAGTCAGGCTTTTTTAAAAGAAAGGAAAAAAAGACATCAGTCATTTTCTGACTAACAAGTCAGTCCAAATAGACAGTCAGCTTCCATATCTGTTACTTAACAAGGTTCCCATTTTGCCAAACCAGCACCTTTCTCAAGCACTCCACTCTGGGCAACTTAGAAAAGGGATGATGGCTGGTATTAACAGGATAGACTCGTGTGAATCATGAGCATTTTGGCTTAGCTTGCTGATGTGTGCATCTCTTCTTAACAGAGCAACTAATAAACCCTGAAACTACATGTAGAATTTACAAACACTCTGCTGACCACAGAGAAAAGGAAGATCTGTGATCCCCTCTTTCTCTATGATTTCTGAGTGTGTTTTTACAACCCTGAAATGAGAATAGTGAAGTTCTTGGCTCGCTATCTCTGGCTATGATTCAATCTATAACAGATTAAAGAAAACATTTAGTGGAATAGGAGAGTAATTCTTTGTTTCTCTAGACTTATTGAAAAATCAAACCTTGCCAGGTTCCCATGCAAAATGCCATGTTGTCCTTGTGTTGTTTCTAGTTCAACAGACTTCAACACTTTTGGATTGAAGTTTTCTATGTCAGCAGCCATCCTTTCTTTGACTTTAACTTTTTGCTAAGAGATTCAGCCATTTGATTCTAAGCTCAGACTTATGAAAAAGTATGGGGGAAAGTTCCTATACAACTATTCTCAAGAAATAGTGCCTATCAGTGGCAATACAGCTAAAGGACTCACAGGTGGAATCCAGCCACCATAAAACACAAGCACCTAGGGTCATTTTAGATACTCTGTGCTGTCTTGCCCATCACTGTCATCATCTCGAGTCTGTAACTCCTCTTCCAGGATCAGAGCTCCTACAGGTATCTCATAGGTTGTGAATCTCATAACAATTTAGCTTCTACTTCCCTTTGTGTCACTTTACCTGGACTCAATTTGCCCCAGAACCAAACAGCCCCAGACTGGAACTCCTGGTTGTAACAGAATACCTGTTGCTTTACAGTTTCTCTTAAAGACATCTGTACAGTGCCTTGCTGTAGGTACAGCAGGCTGTGAGCAAAAGCCCAGTCATGTCCTCTAGCTCTTCCATATGTGCAGGACCCCTGCCTAGGGTGTATTTCTGTATCTAAGAGATTAAAAAGTGATCACATATACTTATCAGTACAGAATTTTCACTTATTGTTCACTGAATGTGTAGATGCTGATTGGCAGCTGTTGATATGACTGTAAACATTTAATGCCTTGAATATTTTGTCAGACTCATACAACTAGATAAGATTTACAGTAAAAGTGGGAAATATAATTCTAACATAAAGAACTTCCAAGGCGTTAATTTAATAATTTCCAATAACAATTTATGGTTTTATTTGCAGACTCTCAGAAGGGTTTTACCAAATTTTACAAGCATGCAGTGTGCACAAAGTTAGAGAATATGTTACAAAATATCATCATCAAGTTTTCTGATTTCCAGTTTTAGTGTGATGTATCATTCCCAATGATCTTTGTTGTAGGCTTGGATACAATATAATTTTCTACACTGATCTGTAATCAGCATCTGTGCTTGAGTTCACATACTGCAGGCTTTCAAACTGTGAGTGATCTTCAAGGCAATCTGATACTGAGCTCTAATTCTTCTTCATGATACACACAGTTTAAGGTAAAAAGAGATTGTGAGCCTTATAGGAGAGCGTGACCTTGTAAAGTAACACAGGGATTAATTTCAACAGAGACTTCTTTCGAAATATGCAAACTCATGGAACTTTTCTTTTCTTTAGAAAGTGTCTAATATTCTGCATTCTTATTAATGAGAGGCTCACACAGTCCTAGTAGCAAAGCAATGCTATTACAAAGAACATGAACAAAGCTAAGGCTCACAGTGGAGCGAACTATACAAATTAAAATCCAAACTCTAGACTTGCACAGTAAAATAAGCAGTTTTATCTCTGATATTGCTTTGACTGGCATGTTTACTTCAACTTAAATATGGTTATTCAAAATATGAATTAAATTGTTCATCTTCACTGCTGCTTATGTTTAATTGGAAATATTAAACATAATAAAAATGGCAGGTTGCCTTGTGAGAAAACTTCTGGCCTCCACCAATGTTTCTTTCCCAGCATCAGGATCTGCCTTAGGGGACAGCCAACTAGAAAAAAAGGTTTTGGTGTGCATAGTCTTCCATGACTGGAGTTTTTCATTATTCCTGTCTTTAGTATTGAGAGACACTCAAGACTTCTAGCTAAAAGATAATCCATGAAACATGAAGTGTCCTTGAGGTCAGAAAAGCTCAATAATTTTGTAGTGTTCCATATATATACAACATGATTAAAAACTACCAGTCATTTGGAGACAACTAACAATATAGAAAGGAAATCTCAACTTTTTGCCAAACAGAATGCTCTTTTCCTAATGAGCCATTCTGAAAACATCCTTCATTCCATTCCAAGGATATCTGAAGTCTTTGGAAACATAAGCAGAGTGGCATCGTGTAGCATTGCTGGAGTGACTCTGTAGTCAGCCACTTCTCTGATCTCAGTTATTCATTAGATGTTATTAGGAAAGCCTTTCCCATAAGATCCTCACCAGGAAGCAAGCGGATGCCCTATGGAACATTAATGTGACAACGAAGTGGAACAGCTATTTAGAGCACAGGTCAACCTTCGCCTGTGCCCAGTGGAGCAAAAGCTGTATCGTGGTAACAGTCTGGTCAAGGGATGAAACAGCAAAAATATATGGTTCAAATATACATGGAAGGTAACAGAGACAAAAAGGACAGACATTCAGAAGTTTCAGGAACACTACATGTATGTTTTCTTCCAGAGACATCAGCTGATAGGTAAGATATGTCTCAAATACTGACACTAACTGAGGCAGATATAAACACTTAACAATTGGATCAGTGAACTGCTGCCAGCTAGACACAAAAACCATAGATCTGATCTAGCTAGCCTGCATTAAGGAAGGCCTAGAACAGCTTTGCACATGTGTCACACATGACTGTTAAATTTCAAGATAAATGACTGAATGACCTGATGTTGTGAGATCTGTTGTCCTGATCACAACTATGACTAAACAATGTCTGTAAGATACCTGCTAACTACTTGTTAGCACTAATTATGAAACTACACATCTAATAAAGGGGCCTTCAGCACAGTGTAAGTAATAAAAGATGCACATTACGTTGTTTCAACTTTGTATGACTTTACAGAAAAGGAAATTCATTCTTAGCCTCAAAGAGACAGTTGCATTTGTGCTCTAGCAACAGTTTATCTGCTGGAGAACCTAATCTGGAAAAAAACCCACTGTGAACTCTCAGCCCACATCAACAACGAAGTCAACTTTATGATGAGGACTGCATAACGATGGGAGAAATGGGTGGGTGGTGCTACATGCTGCAGTGCAGTCATTAGCTAGAGAATCTGTGAATATTCTTTGCGTGTGATATATTTTCTAGTAAATATGACTGCTTGCATCCAATAAGCCCTTTATGATTTCTTCATCTTCATCTTAACTGAAGTGTAAATGGCAAAAGATAACCAAGACATTTACCAACTTTATACATACAAACCCCTCTTAATTATGAAATAAATTAAGTTAAAGCCTGAGAATTTTCTGTCTGAAGGAAGAGATATCAGTTCAGCTATGGACGTTACAGGACACATTCAAAGCAATCTTTTTTTCATCACAGACACAGAAATATATGTACTGATTAATGGAAATGCCAGACAAAACTGTGCATGATGTTGAAACTTCCTCTATCGGCAAAGGAAAATCAGCTACTATTAAATATTTAGCTGGTCAAACCTGGTGTGTCACTGTAGATTCATTAAGTTTGCACTCCACTCCAAAATGATGGAGCATTTAAATTCCTTTAAGTAATTATTAAGTTACAATGTGCTCCAGTTGCCATCACATGAAGAGAAAATAGCTCTTTCCTGTTATATGTCAAAGTCCTATAGTTCACTGTCCAAGCCCTATCTAAGACTCCCGACAGATAACTTTGTCTTTCTGTTTCTCAGCTTATACTGAAAATTATGTGAACGATGATTATTGGAATCCTGTTTAAAATTTACATCTCAGTTGCCCATAACCCTACCACATGACGGAGTTCATAAAGTACACACATTCCCCACAGAGGGGACCATCTTGTTTACTTGGGCTAGACACAACCATTGGTTGAAATATTTAATCCAACAATTCTAAACTTTGTACAACAGCTGAAATATGTGTAATTAACTCAAAAAACTTTGAAGTAAAATTTAACTTCAATAACATGGGACTAGTTCACTGGCACTGCTATTGCATAATGCGAGCATTTGGTTCTTTTGGCAGGTACTTGCCAGTAAGCAACAGGAATCCTCCCTTTCATAGGAGATGGCTACCTTTTTCTCTGACCTGGTGAGTATCTGGGCACTTTTATTCAGGGCTTTGACTTTATAAAGGACAAACCTAACATAATACTAAAGATCCAGATTCCTTAAAGTTTATAAGTTCTTCTGGGACAGAGACCATCTTTCTCTTCTGCATTTAAACATCACCAAGAACAATGGGGCTTGGGACCATGAAAATCATGTTGTGTGGTCTTTGCCATGCAACAAGATAAAATAAAATAAAGGTAAGATAAAATAAAATAAAAACTAACAAAATCCTGGCAGTTCCACCCCTAACAATCCTACTGTACTTTTGTCTTCTGAATTACTGAAAATACTACTAATTATTAAGCACTCTAATTATTTCCCAAAGTAATGAATAGACTAACTGTACTGCAAAAGGCTAAGAAATTCATGACATAGGCTTTAAAATAAATTACTTTCCTCATTTAATTCAAATAAAGTTTCCATAGTCTTAAACGGGGAAGAAGGGACTATTTTTATTAACTATTTCTTGCTCTATTTCTCAACTTCCAGTAAGAAGCTATTTTGCTTCTTGCAGTAATAAAATTGTTAATTTGTACACCTAGTGAAAAGAAAAAAAAAGGAAGACTGAGAAGGTGAGTTCTTAATCTGTTTGAATGCTTTTGCCAATTCGTAAATCCACTGAACTTGAGACAGGATTTTTAAGGAAATTTAGTCTTCTGGTCCATAGCTTCTTGGTTCTTGTCAGGTGATAACTTGGGAAATCCAGCTGTGGACTAATTAAGT